CCATGCATTTTGCATGGCATAATAAATAATAATCTTTAGAATTAATATGACACTAGATATTATATAAAACATGTTTAAGTGTATATTTACAATGACTTTCTAGGGTTGACTTTAAATTTTCTATTAAGAGAAATTAATTAAAAATAAAATAATCATATTTTCTTTTAGTTTGAAACAAAAGTAGACAAGTTATAGAAGTCAATTATTTCATGTACTTCAAAAATATTACAATATTATCTAATTTTGTGTAAGACATACATTACAACAAAACAAATAATTTTCTCAACTACAGTTCAAATTCCTCTATTTAATTTATAAATAATGATTCATTAATTAAATATAAAGAGAATATAATTAGATTTGTTGCATATAAAATTAAAATGAAGAAACACATCAAATTTAGAATTATTTCATATGTATTGTTCTTTATACATGTCATATGTAATTGTGGGAAAATGAGTTTGCCATAAATGCTTTAACAAATTAGAGTTTGATTATGAAAATACAAGACAAAGGAACTGATAAGTCTGTAATTAGGCCCTCTTTTATATCTCATATATTCATATTCGATCTTTATTTTATATGGGTTTTACACTAATTTATTTATTAATTGTGTAATTTTGTATAAAGAGGCCGCAAGTATATTTTGGAAGCATTTTAGACCCAAATTGATAGAAGATTAGAGCTTTACAGCAGTTAGCACGCCCAGTCCCTTTAAACAAGCACGGGGTGCTTCAAGCCCATGCACGGTCGTGCTCATATGCAGAAAGCCCAATAATGAAGAGTTTTTAGGGTTTTCAAACCCTATTAAAGGAAGACCTGATGCACCATTGAAGACATCCTTTACACACCATCTTTACACACCGTTTTTATCTACTTTTTGGCTCTGTGATACATCTCATCTCGTCTCTCTTGCACGGGATCTTTGACACACTCTTGGTGGGACTTAGAGCTTCGAGCGATCGTACTTGAAGACCGGGAACACATCTCACACTCTAGTTTTATATTTCTTTTCTTTATGGTTTTGTTCATGATTTTTTTAGTTCTTTTCTTTAGCATGAGTAACTAAGTCCATAGCTAGGGCTATGAGAACTATTATTTATGAATTTATAGAATTTTGATGTTTGAATCTGAATTTGATTTTCGCTATGTGATTAGCTTTTATCCTATTGCGCTTCTTTCTTAATCTTAATTAATTATAACGTCAGGCGACCGTACCTCGATTAATTAATAGATCTATAGGGTAAAACGAGACAAAGGATTAGGTGGACCAAACCAATCTTTCTCTTCTAATCGTTATTAAATTAACAAGTTCATAGGCTCCTTAGGCTTTCTTTAATTGATGTCTTGCATGACCATTGAGGATGTTAATTTAGAAAAAAGAATATCAATAGTGTTAGTATGAATGATTAGTAATTACAAGGAAATCAGATTTAGATCTAAATAGAAAAATAATATAAAGGATTGAATGAGAACACTCATATGCCCTAGGTTCCTCTCTGATAAATTTAACCAAGACGTGCATTGTATTCCTTGCTCTTAGTTTTATAATTAATTTTATAAATTCTTGCTTTTAATTAATCTCATATCTTTGAAGCTTAAACAATTGAATTAGGAAATTCTTAATAATTGAAAATCAATCCTTGTGGGACGATATTTCAGAAACTTAATTTAAGAACCCTTTATTACTTTTCGATGGGTACACTTGCCCTCCGAACAAAAACGATTAATATATAACAATTAGTTGGATTGACTCTGTTTTCTAAGCATATAATATTGTGTGCGATCATTTAAGAATTAAGAATAGACAATTAAAAAAATAATATTTATCTATGATTCACGCAACAAGGATGCTAATAATAGAAATAATTTAGTAGTTAGAAAATTGAAGAGAAAATTTATGAAAAAACCTAATTAGATGGAATAATCTAATAAAAAAATTTATAATAAATTTTTATATCAGTTAATGATTAACTAATCTTTGCAGTAATATTTTTTAAAATGATTAAACTTTTTACAAAAATGAAGAAGAAAAAATGTAAAAACCACTAAAAAACATAGAGACAACTTTAAAATTTTGGAAAATAATTTTACCTAAACCCCTCGAAGTTATGTGCTAAAAGCTAGATAGATCTTAAAATGTTATATGAAAAATATATATAATTTACATGAATCGTAGTTTTATACTAAAATTTATAACTCTTTAAAGTTTATGAGTATAAAAATGTGAAATTGCAAAATATTTTCATTAGTTACTAAATAATTGATGCAAAAAGTAATTTCTACACTAATTGTTTTTAGAACCTATATAAAAAAAATGTAAATTTAACTTTTTACATTAGTTATTTCTAGGCTAATGTAGAATGTCACTTTCTACATTGATTTTTCATTATCAATATAAAATCAATTAAAAATAAAATATTTTAAAAGTGTACTAGTAAAATAATATAAATTGAAAATGATAAACAAAAACTCTTACTTACATCTCAAACTTCTATTAGGATTATTAGCTATGTCATTGACGAACACAAATAATTAAAGGTGTTGACCAAAATGACTAAAAATCTTAGTAAATATTTATATTTGTCCTATATTAATTTATTGTGAATGTATTATTTTGTAGATGCGATGCTTTAATTAATATGATAATATTATATTTTTATTTTATTTCTTTATTTTTTAATTATTTTTATGAGGTTTAAATTTTAAAATAAAAATACTTATTTTTAAAATTCTCTCAAATAATTAATGAAGATATTTAATTATTTTATTTAAATTAAATTAAATTAAATGTATAATTAACAATCTTCTTAGTTGAGATTATTATCAAAATTTATACAGTTAATATAATTGATTATATAAAATAAATTTAAAGTTTAAATATATTACGTGAGATTATATTTTAAAATAACTTGTGTTTTTAATTATATAATTGTTGCTTTCTTACGATGACGTCACAAAATAAAACATAAAATTATTTGTACGAATTAGTTTAAGATTTAAAATAATCAATGAGTTTTATTTTATATAAGTGATTATTTTCAAAACTACAAAGTATAGTGTTTAAAATGGTTATATGTTACATAAAAATGAGTAATTTAAATAATAATTATTAAACTCAATAATTAACTAATATGAAGTTGTTTTAATTTAATTTATAATGTTAAAAAAAATTGTGATACATAATGGTGTTGGAACAAAATTGTATCTCATGATTTAAACAAAATATTTTTATATCATATATTTATAATATATTTATGGTACTAAATAGTCAAATTGGTACCTCATTAAATGATGTACTTATTTACTTATATGAGTAATAAATGACTGCTTTATTAATTTATGATTTTTCTACTCTATATAACATTGTATAGAATTAAAAATTATATATAGTAAGTTTTTATTAAAAATTATAGAACTTAATATTAAAAGTTACAATTTTTTTTTTATGAAAACTTATTTTAGATAATTTTATCGTGTGTAATATTACACAAATGAAAAATTTTATTAATATAAATTTCACAATAAATAAAAATATAAAAATAATTTAGAGTAATTATTGTTTTTTAAGACATGAGAGAGCATATAAATAATAATATTTCTAATACATACCTAACAACACATGATAAGAAAAATTAAATACATTCTATTAACTGTTTTTAATTGCTCTAAAAAACCTATGCATTAAATTTTTTTTTTATGAGTTTGAGATAAAAATATTTTTATTTCAATAAAAAAATTATTTTATACTTTTTAACATGTATTTTTCTGACACATATTAAAAACTTATATATATAAATGCTAAAATTTTATATTTCTATTATTTTAATATTTAAAATTTGATATAATATCAATTTTACTTTACTGGTGATCATATTAATAAATTTTTGTTTGATGTTTTATCATATTTCATAAAAGTGATGGAAGAAATTTTTAGTTTAGAAAGAATGTAAACGAAGAAGTCACAATTAGGAATGAAAATGGACCTTGGCATATGAAAATTTAGTTCGGATACCTTTTTTTTAATGAGAAAATAGAGAAGTAATGAAATTAAACTCTTACGAAAGTTTATAACATAAATTAAAAAATATTTGAATAAGTTACAATAAAATATTAATTTAAATAAGTTAAAAACATTAATGTGAATTATAAAATTTGATAAAATTTTCCGGACATTCTCTAAAATTTCAATTATGCAAAATAATTTTGTCGCGATGAATTCTGTTAAATTTTACGATGAACTGGCTAAAGAGCGGGGCATGGCCATGGTTGCGTGGACGCAAGCAGGAGACTCCATCAATCCTGGTGTAGCTGCGAGAACCTCTAATCCTTTTTCGGTTTCTTCTTCAATTCCATCGATCCCACACGTTCTCATTCTCTCCCATGCAAACCATGCCTATTTTAGTATTTAATAAATTCAATTCGCTTGCTTCTTTATCTTTCCCTTCCATTCTGCTGGTTCAGATAACGATGCCTACCCCTATTTTCTTTTATTTTTCTTTTCCAAAAATAAAATAATCCTCTACTTGTTAGTTTGCAAACACCCTGGCCAGGTTCCAACTGAGTCAGCATCCCCACCCCAACCCCATAAGCCAACACTTCCTCTCTTTATACTCCTAATCTAAATCCATTATTCAAACCATCACACGGTTCAAATTCGCAATCGACCTAGTCTTCACTCTTCATCCAAACACGTGTACGCTGCTCTTACCCACCCCGATTCTTACATTTCAATTTATCGCTTCTTTAGGCACATTATGACACACAAATGGCAAAAAACACATGCGCACCATCTCGCACCAAATTCAATATCTCACCGACGATATCGTGTCCAAATTCTCGCGTCTTTTCACAAACGTTATCTCAATTTCTCAATTTGTCATTTATAATACGTTGTTATTCAAAAATAAAAATTAAAAAATAAAATTGAGTTCCTCCATTGTTATGGGACACCTATAAATAAAGTTCCTTCCACACCTCTTTCCCTCCAATCCATTAAAACGACACCATTATTTTCTCTCTCAAGAGCTTTCGCGTTCTTTCTCTTTCTCTTTCTATTCAGTTTCTGGATCTTAATCCATGGCGTTCAAGAAAACTCTGGCCCAGCGCCTCCTCAGCATCACCAAAATCTCCAACTGTCGCATTTCCTCTTCTTCTTCCTTTCAGTCTCGAATTGCTTCCACCGCCGGGAAGCCTGACATTGCTCCAGATCCCGGAGACAATGGAATCTTCCGCCGGTTCCTCCACAAGAGACCCTTCTTCTCGCCGGAGCTCCGGCCTCCGGCCGCCAATAACCTCCTCCTGATGCTCCGGGAGATGGACATTGCGAGGAGCCGAATCCGATTGGACGGTCTGACTCCGCCGGAGAAAGAAGGAATGGCGGTTGAAGACGTGCGGAAGTTGCTGAGAGCAACGCAACTCGAAACGGTGAAATTGAAGCTGCGGAAGGTTCCGGAGAGTTGCATAGCTTATTCGGAGTTCATTCGAATCTGTGGTGAGAATTGTTCGGATGAAGAACAAGCGAAGAAGATTGCGAAGATGCTGGACGATTCAGCATCTGTGATTATATTGGGAGATATCGTATTCCTCAGGCCTGAACAGGTTAATTTCTTTCCCCTTTTCTATTTTGACTTTTAGATTTGAATTTCTTTAATTAATTTATTTTTGCCTATTTTGCTTTTGCTTTGCTTTGTTGTGTTGCGTTGTGTTTTAATTTGTGGGTTGATACAGAGTGGGGTCATGGTGGAGAATAAGAAATTAAGATCCAAGATAGGTTTTCTCGATCGGCGTATACTTTTTAAAATTTAAATTTAATTTTAAGAAGCGTTTGTTTTGGAGACGACCGAAAACTGATTAGGTTTTGTGGTGATTTGTTTTGTTTTTGTTTTCCACAGGAAATTGAAAGTTTGTTGTTTCCTCAGATGTAAAACGTGTAAAGGATTCCACGTTTGAGATGGTAAATCTGGGGCTTTTATCGGAACCGGAAAAAGCCCTTCTACTTTCATACCCTCCCCTTTGGTGTTCAACCCACCAAGGGGAAAATTTTAAATTTTTGGCTTTTATTAATAGAGAGGACAGTGCATTTGGTTTTCTTTCTGAAATTTTAAATTATATTTTGGATTAAAAATTATCTAATTGGCAGAGATAATTTTTATCCGAACTATGATTTGACGGATTTCGAATATATAACCAGTCGTGCACTCTAACTGAAAGCGAGATTGGCCTAATTTTTCTATTGGGATCAATTTCCTGTGAAAATTTTTTTTGGTTTAATAATTAGGATAACCTTAGAAAACACCTTTCTATATATAAAGTATTTATTATAGTCATTTAATTAAATTATAGATAAGGTGTCATTATTTACATTTAAACTAAATTTTTGAAAAGTATTTTATGGGTGTTGGTTGTAAATAAATTCCAGCATCCATTATTGCTTACATAAATTATTGTTTTCCTGGAGATATGGCTTTTTAATTATTTTTAGAGAGAAAGAGTTTAAAAATTGTTGGAAGCATCACAGGCTGGCAGGATAAAATGTAGTTAGAACAACAAACATTTCATGATTAATGTTATTTTTAAAGGGTTTTGATGTCTAGTATTCAAGTAAAATATTTATGAATTTTGTATTATTAATCATTGTAAAAATTAAATGCAAACAATAATATGCATTACTAGATTTTACAAATGTTTAGAGGCTTCTTTTATATATATATATATATATATATATATATATATATAGAGAGAGAGAGAGAGAGAGAGAGAGAGAGAGAGTAAATAATTAACACATAGATAATTTGGATGGTGTATATCTTATTTTCTTTAAAATATGCATTAAGTTTTTGGGGGAAAAAATCATTAAAAAAGTAGTCTATGTTCTTATCTCAAATAAAATTATTTTCCTTAAAAAATACTTTTAGTCTTATGAGAAAATATATAACTGAAAGTAAATAAAATTATTTAATATTTTTTCTCCATATAACAATTTTCTTTAGAGCTTCCATACATAAAAGGGTGAATACTAGAGTAACTTCTTTTATTGCCTTAGATTTTGTTAAGAGATGTGCTTTATGTTATTCATCTTAATTTGGTCATAATTTTGAAAATTTTAATTTTTTAAAATATTATAAATGAAATCTAAAATACGATTAAAAACATTTGATTTGACTGTAAATTTTTCAATTAATAAATAGCTTTTAAATATAGAAGTTTCCTTCTAACCGATTATTAAATTAAATTCCATCAGATTTTAAATAGCAGTTAATCTTTACGATAGGATGAAAATAATATACTCTATTTTATCAAATATTAGCTGTGTTCCTATAGTTCTACGTCGCTATTAAGTATAGTCTTGATATTAGGAGGGACGGTGGGCATTATTTCGCGGGGCAAGTGGGTGGGCAGCTTTTGTTTGTATTTTTTCCTTTAGAAGTCAGAGTTGGCAGCTTTTCATGGCTGTTACAAATTTGGGATGCTAACAAGGGATGCAAATCAATTTATGCCATCAACCAATAGAATAACCAATTTTAATTTATGTTTACATTAGGTTAAAAAATAATATGTGATATTATATAAAGTATATGCTGTGTGTGCGTATAGCTCTCTCTGTTATTTCAATCCCGTAATTTTTGGAGTACGGTGGATTATACAGAAAGGACTGATTTCGCTGTGCAAGTTGGTAGACAGCGTTTCATTGCTGTTAGGAATTTGGGATATTGACAAGGGATACAAATCAAATTCTTCCATCAGCAAAATAGGATAACATAAAAATAACTTTTAAAATATTAAAATATACTCTTATTTTATGTTTTAGATATTTAAAAAGATGTTGATAACAATTTTTAAGGTAGGGCAACATTTCAGTATGGTATTATAAGAGGTATTTATATTTTAAATTTAAATTTAAATTTTATATATAATTTGTGCTAACCATGAAAATTACAGAATTATTAACGTGTGTTATCACGATGAAATTTTAATTAAATAAAAAATAGAACAAAAACTATTTTAATTTGTGTTACAAGAATACTTCTTGTCAAATCTTTTTTTTATGAAACATTATTATCATTAAAGTCTTGAATTAAAATTTAGGACAAAAGTATATAGTTTAATGGTTATAAATATTTGTTATTTATGTGTTCTTTAAATATCGTCCAGAAAAGTTAATAACCATTACTAGGTTAGCTAATAGCTAGTGGCTATTTTTATTTCTTTTAGTGCCAAGGAATATGCCGCTTCAATTTTTAGTTATTCGCTCTTTTCCACACTGCATAGAATATTCCCAGCTCCATTTCCTGGAATATTGTAATTCGTGAGTCGTGACTTGTTTATTATACCGTTTCGGGTCAGGGAGGGCCTATTTTCTCGAAATGGATTTAGACAGTCACCAAGTCTATGCATTCCCGCAGTTATTAAATCTGAATCGTTAGATGGAAAAGAAAAACTCTGATTTTATCTCAACAGGTTGGACTTATATCAAGACAACATTCATTTATGATCTGAGCTGTCTGATCATCATCCAAAGACTTTAATTTGATCCTAAACATGTTTTGCTAGTGATTTTATTCAAGTCAGCTCTTTTTCTGATCCTAGCCAAGTTGTCTAACGGTTACAACTTTAGAAAAAGCAAAATGTAAATCGAGCCAAGTTTCACCCAAACTCTCAAATTTTTTTATACAGGTAGCAAAGACCATCCAGGCTCTACTCCCTATGCCAGGGGCCAAGGGGAAAGAGTCAGAAAGAAAAGAACTTGAAGAAATGGAAAAAGAGAAGGCAGCCATTGACAACAGAGCTGACACCTTGGTTCGGCGTGAGCTTTGGGCCGGGCTGGGCTTTCTTGTGGTTCAAACAGCAGCGTTCATGAGGCTCACATTTTGGGAACTTTCGTGGGATGTAATGGAGCCCATATGCTTCTATGTGACCTCTATGTACTTCATGGCTGGCTACACATTCTTCCTTAGGACCTCGAAAGAGCCTTGTTTTGAAGGTTTCTACCAAAGCCGTTTCAGCACCAAGCAGAAGCGCCTAATGAAACTTCACAATTTTGACATTGCAAGGTATAATGAACTCAGGGCTGCTGCAACATTGGCACCCTCTTCCGAATTGGATTCATCCGTTGATCACAAATTTCACAATAATTTGTAGGGTCATCGGTAATATTCATATTCGTTAGACTAGTGACTATAGAATATAATTGCACAAATATCACTCCCTTCCCCCTATTGCCCCGCAAATTGTGGAGAACCATTCTCCTCCACCTTTTCTCTTATATCAGTCTGCTCCAAAAACCGAAGAAAGAAAAAACCAGCTTTTGGATTGCGGTGAGTTAGAATTAGGCGCGGCTTTGTGTACAATAGATACAGAGTGATTTTTTTTTTCTTTTTCTTTTTGTTAGACAACATAGTACTAAAATAAACTTTCAAGAACATGAAAGTCAATTTTAACGTGTCACAGAAGAAAAAAGAACATAAAATTTGTAGATAGCGAAGCCCAAATCGCATTCCTTGCTCACCTACTTTGCTGAAACCAGAAACAAAGGTCAAATGCTAGTGTCATCTGAAAGTACGGGCTAACAAGTTATTCTATAGAGGAAATTAACGTCTGACAAGTAATTATTTAAAGGGTTGGTTAATTATTAAGTGTGCCATATAATTTTTTTTAAGTTCAAATAATAATTAATTACAACACACTAACTAATAAGTATGTTGTATAAATAATTTTAAAGTTCAAATAATATTTAATTACAATAATGTAAAAAAATTATATTATCATTTAATACTAAATTATCATATAATTAAGACTTTTATCACATTTATTTTCAAAGTCATATGTAAAGTGATTTTTAATCAATTGTTAGGATAAAAAATTGTATATTACCAATACGCTAACATTAAATTCACATATAAATTATATTAAATATCTGTATTTAATTCTTACACAATTTCAACAACTGCATTAAAAGAGAAAAATATTTAAAATTGTAAAAAGACATGCATCACTTTAAAAAGATAAATCTAAGATTGTAAAAAGATTAAAAATATAGTTTTTTTTTAGAATGGTACATAAATCTTTTAAATAAGATCGATTGATAATTTAATATATAAGACAATCTTTACAAAAATAACTTGGCAATATAGATAGTTGATCCTATTTTTTTTGTTCTAAATTATAGGTAGGTAATTTTATATCAATTGAAAATAAATATAACATAGTGAATTACATTTTTTAGTAGAGTTTACACGCACATATATAAGATTTGAACTTTGGTACCTTGCATAAAAGGAATTAAGCATGTAATATATGAACTAACATCCGCAAGCATATAATTGAAATTTGGAGAGAAAGAACATAGTTTGACATTAAAAAATGAAATTAAGAAAGATAACCTAAACATAAAAGATTATAATTAAACTTTATTTTACTGTTAAAACTCAAATGTATTTTTTATATAAGGATGAATTTATTTTATATAGTTTTGTCAAATACTACTTTTCATCCAAATTTTCAATTAATATAAATAGATTGATTTTATTTGTTTGTAATTGACTGATATGTACAATATAAATTTAATTTTAAATGTTTGTGAGCATTGATGCAAGAATTATAATAGGGTATTTTAATTTCATCCTTATATTTACAAATGTTTTTATATACATGGTCTGTCATAGTATTATTACATTGTCATTCTTTTTTTAATAAGGAGAATTTTAACGCAAACTTCTAAGACGAGTTTAAATATTTAAAAATGATAAATTTATATTTTAAAATATATTTATTACATTTTATAATTTTAGTTTAATAAATATAATATTTCATAAAATCATACTATTTTGAAGTACTTAAACTCATTCGTAAGAAGTGAGGTTAATAATTTTTTTTATTAAAATATGTTACACATTTTTATTAAAATTTATCTTAGTCTTTATATATGTACCATATTTTTAGCTTGATTTTTATGTGTTACTAGACAATCAAAATTAAAAATAATAAAAAATTATAATGTAGATAAATATAAAAATTTTATTGACATTAAATATCAAATTTGAACACTTATAATATTTAATAACTTTCTATCCTTCATATACTTATGATATAGATAAATTCTATAAAATATTGTAAAACAATAAAAGTAATATATACTTTATGTATTATTTTATTTTAATATATTTTTAAAATATAAGTAAATATTAAAATTAGATAATATTACTTACAAATGTCTATAACGTATGAAAATTGATATGTATAATTATAAAAATAACATTAAATGATTCAACAATTAGATTAATTAATTTATACTATAAAATGTTATTAAGAGTATAAGTGTTCAAATTTAATGTCCAATATGTATACTAATTAGGTTTTGATTTAATAATTTAACCTTTTTTTTATTATACTGGCTCTTCTCTTCCACGGCTAACTTACATCATTGTCAACCATCTATACAAATATCACTAAACAACCTTTATTAGGTGCAACCATGAAACCAACACTTCATCACCCATATCAATACTTTTGTGTCTTTTTCATCATATTTCAAACTTAACAATAAACTACTGTAGTTGTCATGCTCCTTTTCCATATTGAACAATTACTTTTGGAATCACCTTGAAACCATTGTTATCTTTGTTATGAAAGCAATAAGTCTCAACTATTATCACTAGAGAACTACTATGTTCCTGAAATATTTTACTCTGTCATTGAAGTATATGTAAAAAGAAAAAACTAAAATAAAATATAAAAATTAAATAATTAAACTAAAACAAAAAAAAAAGTAAAGTTAAAAGACTTGAATATTAATATTGCCAAAATTTTTATTTAATTTTTAATCATAAAAAATATCTACAAAGTATTTGATACGCAGAACTTCCAAACTTTAAAACCCTAAACTACTTAAAAGTTCATTCATATATTCTAACAAAAGAAAAATATGTGTGATGAACGATAGAAATAATTAATAAAATTAAGAATATTTTACTAACTTAACGTTTTTACTAGCATGTTATCGTTATAAACCACTCATTTTGTAGTGTGTTTTTACCCCTATTAATTAGAGAACTAACATGTTAAAGTATGTTATCTTGCGAACTTAATTGAATTTATTCTTCTACTTCTTTAATTCTTAATTTTTGTGAAGTTTTTGTTTCCGTATTTTTACTAATGAAAAAAAAAAAAGTTTCTTACGTCAATTAAAAACAACTTTTAATATTGATTAATGAACCGATATAAATGCATACAATATATTTTATATTAATCAATCGACCAACGTAAGTACATTTTCAAGTTCATTAATGGTGTAGCTAATAAAATTTAAAAATAAAAATAAAAATTTATGTTCGTTAATAGCGTAATAAAACATTCTAACAAAAGTTTAAAAATATAAATAAAAATTTGTGTTCATAAATAGCATAATTAAAAATCTTAATATAAGTTTAAGAATATAAGTAATAATTCATGTTCTTCATCTATAATTTATGTCATTTTATTTATGTGCGCCTATGAAATATTTCATTTTAAATCAATTTTACATTAGGTGTAAAAATAACCAAAATAAAATTTTTGCAATTTCTTACCTTTATAATTATACTTTTTACCTTAGTTTTAAAAATAAAAAATGTAGAAAGTATCTTTTACATTAGTTATTTAACAATTAATATAAAAAGTTTTGTAGTTTTTTACCTTGATCATAGACTTTGAAGAGACATCACTTTTTAACACAAAAATCTTATTTATATAAATTTTATATTTATTTCAAATAACTTTTTATGATTTATTCAACTTTTAGCATAGAATTTTGAAGGGGTTTGGACAAATATATATTTTTAAAATTATATATTCCAACATTTTTTTCTATTTTTTTTCATTTTTTTACTTTCTAAATCAGTTCAATTTAAACTAATGTAATTTTTTCTACATTGGTTATATGTTAAAAAAAAATTATCGGTTTAAAAAATTTTACTTCATTTTTTTATTATAACATTTTTTTTCTACTAGTGTTTGGAATTAGATCTTCACAGTATCACTTCAAAAACTTTTTTTCTACCTTCATAACACATTCCAAAAACTTCAGATCATTGTTGAAGAATAAATGTAAATTTATCCAACTTAACTTACATGCACTTACCTAACTTAATCTAACATAATTCAAATTGTTGGTTTTCAACAGAAAATCACTTTTGACATTTTAAGTTAGAGAGGAATTTGTCATTAGCAATGAACTATTCCAAAAATTGAACATTGATGTGAAACTATTTTCATGATTAAAGACTAATATTTAAAAAAATTTAATGAAATCGAATTAAATTGTAAACATAAAAGGATTAATATTATTTTAATAAAAAGTAGATAATTATTATATAAAGAGTCGTGAATGCCGGGGTAATGTTATGAAAAACTCAAATTTTAAAGACTATTGAAAAACTATTTTACAACTAAATAAAATCTTTTAATTATAAATATCAAATTAATTGAAATTGTGTAATGCATATAAAAATGAAATATATTTGGGTTAAATTAGTAGATTATCTCTTTAACTCTCAATTTTATTTTAATTTGGTCCTTTAATATTTTATTTCTTATTTAGTATTTCAAATAAAGTATTTTTTATATTAAAAGTGTTAACTTTATTAAAAATTATTATTTTGTTTTTATAAACTTCAACAAAATCACATTATAATTCTGTAAACTTTTTAATTGCCTCATTTTTTTCTCTTTCTTATTTTTTCTTCCTTTTTTTCTGTTGTTTTACACTTTCTTTTACTCTTGATTCATGCAGGAAAAGACAGGTAGAGAGTTAATGACAACAACACGGAGCGCAATGAGATACTAGTGTTTGTTTTAATTGAGACAAAGCCTCAATGTCACACTTGTTGCCTGACTCTCCATTTTTTCTAATGACCTTGAGACCTAAACAAAAACTCAATTGGTTGGATCTTGAGATTGTAGGAAGATTTTTACCGGATTTTAAAGAGGGGAGGGGAACGGGTGGAAATTAATCAGAGATATTTTTGTTATAATTCACAGAGAAGAGGAAGATAAACAATATTTTTTTAACAGACATAACATTTTTATATAAAAAATGATTAATTTTTTTTTTCAGTTAAAAGATTAAAATGATTACAAAAATTTAGAAGATTAAAATAATTAAATAAATAGAAAATCAAACTGAAACAAAATTAAGAGTTAATAAACTAATTTATTAATTTAGTCATACATGCATGTTAGTCTTATTTATTTTACAGTAATTATATTTGTACTTAAATTTATACAACAATTTTTTATACAATAGAAATCTAAAGAAAAAAAATATGTATAATGAAATAATAATGTGATAGTAAAAAGTGAATATATATAA